TATTTTCTGCCGAGTCTTTCTGACTCTTCTACGGAACTAAAGGCAGTCAATACTCTACCTAAATAAATATGTTCCTTTGTGACAGTCGCAGTTCAGCTTGTTGTTGCTTTTTTTCCTCGAGTGAAAAGGGGGCCAAGAGCCAAAGACTACAACTAACTCTCGAAAAGCAACTCAGTCAACAGACAGACGTTTCCCAGTTCCCTGTATGATCGGAACGAAAACATGGAAGTACTCTCTGAAACGCTTTTCTGAACTTCCGGTATGTCAGTGTGTAAATAAATGGGTTGCAACCGCTGTTCAGCATGGCCAGCGTTGTGGTGATTATGAAAAAACTGTCGGGGAATGGGCACAAACCATTTGTGAACGTTAAACACATCATTCCAATGAAATGAGGCAGCCAGCATAAAATGAAGGTTCCATTCACAACAAGAAGGATAAGAGCAACTTTCATCTCTTTCCTAAAATGTAAAAAAAAAATGAAGTAAGGAGTTAAGAGTTTTTTTAAGCTCAAAGCTTTCCTCAAGCAGTGGTCAGAGTCGTTATGTTGTGTTCTCCACACTCAGGTGTATAAGTAGTTGTCGGTGATCTGTTAGATATACCTTACCCAACCTATAGATTTAACCAGGAGGCCATCACTAAGAGCGTGCAACTCCCATACTAAGCCTATATCACGGCAGTTTTACAGACCGGTCTATTTTTAGGCTTCTTTTCCAGCGAAATAGGTCAGTTCCAGTCCACATGAGCGCACATCGGTAAGGAGAAAATGGCGGCCTCAGGTGGACTAGGCTCGATTTCCAGCCGTTTTGTGAGCCCGCGTTCCTTGTCCCACACCACGTTCGTTGGGAGGAGGATAAACAACCTGACTCCCAAAACGGCTGGAAATCGAGCCTAGAGGTGGACATGCCGACATAACAATAGAATAATAAAATACCCTAATTCTCTCTCCATTTTTAAGTCCGTGCTTGTGGTTGGTCACTGAGATTCCTGCACGGGTCTGAATTCGCTGTAAATTCAACCTAAAACTAGATCGGTCCGTGAAAACGCTGTGACAGGAATGTGGGGTAGTTGTACGCTCCTAGTGATGGGCTCCTGGTTTAAGCTGTTATGGATTAGCATTCTATCAAGACTCACAGTCGACCCTAGTGGCTTCATGAATGCTCCGACCAGCAGTGTAGGTCTGTAGGGTAAAGGCCCGGTAAGGGCTCGTGTGTATACCAAGAAAAATACAAGTGACAAGTGGGATGTTCCATGGTATTCCACGAGAGAGCGCTGCATAACTATTTTATACTAAACAATTACATTATGAGCTCCAGATTTCTATCGCGTGTGCCCGAGTCAGCTATCACACATAGAAATCGAGAGCGAATAATCTAATTGTTTTAGTATAAATCTACTAGTCGTTCAAAACTTTATCTAAATCCTCTTCACAGACACTTCGAAAACGCCAAGAAGTGGCCGTCATTTTGTTAACAAGCGCACACTGCTACGCTACTCACTATCTATCACAGAATAGATAGTGAATAGCGTAGCCAATCAGAGAACGGCATTCGTGATAGAACGCTAGTAGATTTATACTCATATGCAACAGAAAATACAGTTGCCAACACAATCAATGGGACATACGCGTGGCGCATGATGGGAAGTTTGGGTGTTATCCTGTCGAATATACAACGGCTTTGCTGTATTCTGATTAGCTGTAATCTCTGTGGCATAGTATGAAAGCTTCTGGCGAGCTCAAATATCAGTGTGTCTTTGCAAGTCAAAAGAAAGTCCCTGACTTACCTTTTATGTCGTCTATCCTCAGTCCTTCGCTCGGCCATCCACCCACGCCTTCGGGCAGCAGACCTTATTTGGGAAACGAAATCTTTTCTCGAATCTTTTTTCTCGTCTTTCTCTTGGGTAATCATCAATTCCTCGCTCTGCGGGTTTTCCTCTATCCAAGGGTTTATTGCAGATGAAACAACAGCGGCAGGACTCACACGGGACTTCCCGATTCTACCCGAGCAATTAATGTTAGGATCCGCGGAATGTTTGTCGGAGGTTTTGGTGTTTCCTGGGGCAACCACAATGACAAAAGGATTTATATGGGACATCTTGTTTCCACCCGAGGGACTCGCGCTATTTTGTTCTTTCCTCTCTTTACCTGTTTCGACATTTTCGGGATTTCCCGCGACGTGCCTGCGATGGTCGAGATCTCTTTCCTGGTCAAATATTTTCACGATTCTTGAGGGACCTTGTTTTGTGGAATTATTGTGCTCTGCTAGTTTAACGACGGGTGATTCGGATTCTCCCCGGGGGAGAGAAGCTTTAACCTTGTTACTCTGGGAATCCGCAATAAAAGCGCCATTTTCTTTTCCACCACCAACTTTCCCTGGTTTCTTACTTTCCTCCTCGATTTTTCCATCAACCACCTCCCCTTTACTTACATCCGGGATAGTCGCTTCGCTTACATCCGGGATAGCTGAGTGAGCATGCTCCGAAGCACAGAAGCTGCCAACCTTGACCGGTGGTTTGTCACGTGCTTGGTGGCGAGCGACTCTCAAGACACTTGAGTAACACACGACTGTCACGATCAGTGGAGTCACGAAACACGTTACGCTGAGGAAAATAGTGAAGGCTTTGTCGTATTCCCATTGGACAGTACAGATGAACTCGTATGGCAAGTAGGTATACCTGAAATAATTAGAAAAGAACATGAAAAAAATTAATTTTATTTAATTTTTCTCCTAACTGTTTTGGAATTTTCAACTAAAGAAAATTGAGGTGATTTTAGAGTCAGACAAATTTATCAGAATACTGACATAACTCTCTAGTTGGATAGGTGAAAATTAAATTCGTTCCACCAAAATAAACCGTTCGTCATCTTTTCGCTAGAATTTAGTAATATTTTCCGAACCGATTGAAGTTAGAGCGGTAAAGAGTAGAAGATTAATCTTATTTCATTTGTCCGACATTTCTACGTTTGCTGATTGGTTTACAAAACACGCGACACTTTGTCGGCCAATGAGAAAAGTTAGATACAATCTTGAACCGTTGCCATAGTGATACGGTCTGCATCGCCCCTCCCTTAGATTTACAACGCTGGAATAAGTTGCTGCAAAATTGACAACAGTCCCACATTTAATGTTAGCTTTTAAAACCCCCTTATCGTTTGCTCTCTATTCCAATCCTAGAAACGTGTAGCTACAGAGAGAGAGAAACTTAAAATGCAACATGTATAAACCTTGACCAGCCAAGTACAGGAAGAAAAGCTATAGTTAAAGCTTGCAGCCAGATATAGGCCAACACAATCCTCACTCGTACGACTGTCAACCAAGCTCGGTACTTCAGTGGAAAAACGATCGTCAGCCATCGATCAACCGATATTGCCGTGAGCGTCAGCACCGATGCGATACAGAAGAGAGAGTTAGTTAGTCCGCTTATTGTACACAAAGTCTCTCCAAAAATCCACTGACGGCGGAAAGCTGACACAGCTATCAGAGGCATGCCAAATGTGGACTGAAGAAGATCTGCCACTGCGAGATTCGCCAGGAACATCCCTGTCACATCACGTAACGGATGGTAAGAGATTATCACGACCAAAGTCAGCACGTTTCCAATCACTCCGATTAAAATTATTCCGATCACAACGATACCCGTAATAAGCCCAATATCGACCGACATCTTTGGTGATACAAGTTTTTAAAGCACGGTTAACAATGAAATAAACTCACTAATCGCACGGTAAACTATGCAATAGTGTCCTGACGCAAACCATGTCTGTAGAACTAAACGGAACCGAGAGAAAAAAACAGCCACGGATGATAACACGGTCCTTGTCGCTTAGTGATGCAATCAGTTTTTCAAAGAGATATCATGTCGGTTGCTGTACCCCATGAAAAATCCTTCCTTATGCGCTCTTCGACATCACTTTCCTTGTAATATTGATTATTTCTTGACAAGACGGACGAAAACTCCACCAATTTAGGTGTTTAAAACCTTGAAACGACTGAAGCGAGGCAACATCCGCTCCTTAGCATCCCAGAGCTAGCGATTCTGCTGTTCTTGTTTCTTTTGTTCCAAAAAAAAGGAATAACCCTTTAGTGCCACAAGTTTCTGCTGGAATGAATAGACTGCAGCTAGGAAGAGCTCACGTACCTGACTGATTTAAGACACGCACTGGAAACAAACCACCCTCTGTCCAACGAAGAGATCGGTCAGTTCTACTTTGCTGCCAGTAGTTCTTTAAGAAAGCATTTTCTCCGCGAATAAAACGCCATCATTTGAATAAGGACTTGTTATAAGCTCTTTAGTTCCGTTTTTTTGTTGAGGTGCTTTGTGAGGAATATGCTGCTTTCGTCATGACAGTCCCAATTTTTCGGCTGCACTAGCTAGTCTTTCTTGTTTCGGCCCGATGAACACGTTGAAATTCGGAGAAACCTAAGATTTTTCAGCTCATGTCCCAGGAATGAAAAAAGAACTTTTTTTCAACAAAGCATCATTGCATACACTGGTGATATTCTTTCGAGACTGCAATTATAATTTACTGTCTTAACAAAAGAGCAAAGCCACAAAAGCTCACAAGTAATCGGAAATAACCGTCAGAAGATTGTATTCGTCTTTTTTTCTTTCTATGATGAGGTCACTGTTGAAAAAAAAAATTTTCGTTGTCGTTCTCTATTTGATATCTTTCCCCGGCACCATCTTCTGGTTCAGTTTTTGTCTTTTTCAATCAGCAAGCAAACTTGAATTTTTACAAAGTTTGTTTGGTTGATACCTTGGAAACATTCCTTTTTGATTCCTTGTGCGAAAAGAACTTAAGTGCAACAAGCAGCTGCAAAAAGGAGGAAAATGTTATTTCCTGTTTGGGTCCCAAATTTGACTTGATCTACGCAAGGAGAAAAACACTTCTGTCAATAGCAAACGATGAAAAGAAACATTCTGTTTGGACCGAGGGCGGTGCAAATTTTGTAATATACCTGGGACTGATAAGATAAATGGCCTACAAATTACTTTCGTTAAATTGCGTTTTAAAACATTATACGATGGAAAAAACAGTTTGGTGTTAAGTAGAAGTCTATTTTTTTCAGTGTGGTGAATTATTTTTTTTCAAATTTTCACGTCACGAAAGTGAAAGAGGTTACCCCCTTCATGATGAAAATAGAAACTCTATTGAACTAGCAAGATCTGGTCGCAGTGGAAAATATTATGCCGACCAGTTTTTGATGCTGTTATCTTCAACAATCTCGAGGTAGCATTCCAGCAAGACTAACAATGACAACTGCTTTCACAACAGTGCCGTTAAGGACTTCAGGTTTATTGTAAGCTTTTTGTAAGCTCTTAGGCCCCGTCCACACTATGCCGGAGGAATTTGAAAACGGAGGTTTCACTCTGAAAATGCATCAGATGTTTTCCGTCCACACTTCGTCGCAGGAATTTAAAACAGCAACAATCATCGGTCATTTTGGATTTGTGTTTGAGGAAAACTCGGGCAGGGAGATCGCACGATTATCTTAATGCGATCGTTTCCAAAAAGCTCCGTTTTCAAAACGTTTTCCGTCTTCACGAAAACGAAAAGCCGGCGTTTTCAGATTCCTCCGGTTTGAAGAGCGTTTTCGAGAAGCTCTGTTTTCGTGACGGATAAGTGTGGACGGTAGGCCTAACCATAGAAATAAAACTGGGTCTTCAAATTTCTCGGGCTTAGTGTGGACGCTGCCTTATTTCCCTTGTTACATTGTAGTGGACTGCCTCTTAACAGTGATTAGCATGGAATGTCGCCTTAGGATATACAGACATGTCCAAAACACAAGGGACGACATAAAGAAACTCGTCAACTGAGTGATAATCTTGACATAACATGAAAATAAATATGTGACAACAACGAAGAATAATTCATGTTGAACGCAGAACGGAAACAGTTAACCGGAAAACGAGAACAAAACTCTCCCTTTTATTCCTTGATACGATTCGGCTCCAAGGGACTACATGAACAAGACATGGTCAGAAACCCCAAAACTGCATCATAATCCACTTGTTAGGAGCTGAGAGAAAGTGTTTTGATTCATTTCTCCAAGAAAGTGTTAATCCTCGGAGACCGTCGGAAGGTCTTAAGCAATTGTCACAATCAAGTATTTCGTTGTTTTTGCCTCGTGGTATGATTAAAATCACAAGTCAGTTTTTAAAAACACTGCATTCGTGGAAAAAATGTTCGTTTTTCAAGAGTCGTGAACCCACTGAGGGCGTTAAACTGTGACCTTTCTACTTTGTTGAATGAAAGTGAACTCCGAAGACATTTTTTACAGATGAAAAATCTTCTGATAAGTTCAAGTTCTTTTGTATCCTTCTCGTAACTTGTGCCACCTTGAAACGAGCCAACCTCGCTTTTCCCACAAGTAATGATGGCCAAATTTCAAGTACCACCTGTCAAAGCAATACCAGAAAAACAAGTTTAACAAGTCTGTCAGGTTGCAGACGGCATTTCTCGTACTTTTCATATGTCAGTTACACGCAGCACTTGTTTCTCTTTCTACCATGTTTTGTGAAAAATTATAGCCACGCGCAGAAATCCTTAAGCACAAGTCAAAACGTGCATTTCCAAAGATCTTCGAAAGTAATTGTGTATTTGCTTTATAAATACATCCTGTCTTGCTAGTGAGGGAATGAGGGAACCTGAACTTATAAGCTCGAGAGGTTTTTATTAGGTTTCCTCGCCATTTGTATATTTATTTTTTCATACGTTATTTTAAAATTGGCAATTAGTTGATGTTTTTTGGCAAATAATAATCAATCAATCAATTCATCAATCAATCAATCAATCAATCAATCAATCAATCAATCAATTTGATCGCGTATCTTAGTACATCTAGTAGGTTGGCCAAGAAACTCATTTTACTGTGGTTGGTGAAGCGTTCTAGATTCATAGTCACAGACGGAGCTTTGAAAACGTACAGAGAATGCTAGAGTTCTTTCCAAAGTGAGACGAAAATAAATCTAAGAAACTTATTTGCTATTTTTAAACAATTAGACTACTTTCTTTCACATCGTTTTGTAAAAACGTTCCGTGGTGTTTCCTATCTTTTCTCAGAGAATAATCCACTTCTGGGATCTAGAAAAACTGCTGAAAGTTTTTACGTTCCGCTCGTGCATCCACTAGATTTCCCAGACCTCACGCGTGCATTATGAAAATAAAAAAATGTGTGCGCTGATTGGTTTAAAATCGTTTTTCTCTAACTCGATAGAAACACAGAACTAGCACGAGCTGTTGACATGATGATTGCGCTAGCAAAGAGAATTTACATTTTGATGATCAAAGTAAACAAATTGTTTTCATTTTTTGGTTGCGGAATTTTGTAAGAGAAAGAGAAAAATTGTGGAAACACCTGCCTCTCGGTTCTTGTTCCCACAGCATTTCTCGCTCTACCAAACTTCCACTCGTGTTTCTATTTGCTAATTAGATTATGAGCTTGAGATTTCTATGAGGTGATAGTTGAAGAGGCCGAAGGCCGAATCAACTATCACCTCATAGAAATCCAGAGCGAATAATCTAATTGTTTTAATAGAATTCTTACTAAATTTCCTTCAAAGAGCGATTTCCAATCATTTCTCAACGTGGTATTAAACGCTCTAGCGAAACCGCAGATTGAATTGTTTTTTGAAACTTGCAGCTGTGCACGCGTGCTCATCGGTTCATTGGGAAATTTTGAAGTTTTAAAGTCGCATAACGGTGAGTATCCTATCTTTAATTAATGTTCTTCAGAATTAAATTATCCAGTAATATTTCTAAATCTTCCGCGAAACATTAGAGAAAACAGAAAACCTTGCCATTATGTGGACGACCTTCAGCCACTGCACTCTAATAAACAATTACATTATGAGCTCGAGATTTCTATCACGTGATAGTTCACGAGGGCGCAGCCCGAGTCATCTATCCCGCATAGAAATCGAGAGCTAATAATCTAATTGTTTTAGTATAAATCTACCAGTCGTTCAAAACTTAATCTAAATTCTCGTCACAGACACTTCGAAAACGCCAAGAAGCGGCTGTCATTCTGTTAACAAGGGTACACTGCTAGGCTACTCACTATATATCTATCACAGAATAGATAGTGAGTAGCGTAGCCAATCAGAGGATGGCATTCGTGATAGCACGCTAGTAGATTTATACTAATGGCTGATAGTATACGAGTAGCCCAGCCAATCAGATCGCAGCATTTGCATTAGTATACTAGTAGAATTCCACTAAAACGCGATAGAAACACGGTACATGTTTTCTATTTCCTAAAGAGAACATGGAACACCATCTTCTAATTGGTAAAAAGAGAATACTGATTGCATGACTAAACAGTACACAGATGCGAAGGAAACGAAAGCTTCTGTTGCTATTACTACTGCTGCTAGTAAAATACTAGGCTTGGTAGAACAGCTTAGCACAATGATCGAATTTACTTACGCCCCAAGTAAAACACCGCCAAGATGGCCTGCGTGATCGAATAAGTTCCAGCGGAAAAGTAACCCCGCCACATCAATACCAACCATGGCTAAAAGGCCCTGGGAACAAAAGTGAACTCAATATCAGGTGATGTTCACAAGTGACCGTGAAATATAACCCATCAATACCATGAAAAGGTGACTGTTTATCTTGTTAAAGGTTGGGGAAGCTGGTCATCTTGATCAGGGGGGGGGGGGTAAATCAAGGATTTTCGTCTCACTTAGGGTGTTCAGGACAAAATGCCAGTGTTTATAGCCATCAAAGTATCTTTTAGGGCGCACTTGAAAAACTAATAAAAGCACACTGTCATTTCTGTTTTAAGTGGTATCCTTTGGGAGCCAAATAAAGCTTGAGCCATGACCAGATTGGTCTCCTTTAGTGGTTTAATTACAATTTTCCAATGAGCATCCCAGACCTAACAGTCCCCCTAAGGGCCTTTGATTACATGATGTGCCAAAAATGTGACAGTATTGGAGGTAAAGGTACGGTAAAGTCTGCATACAACCCAAGTGGCTCATCAGGCTGGAGTCAGCAGCACGAAGCGACCAGGAGTATTTCTACTCCACCCTGGATGGGATGCTAGTTCATCGCAGGGTTACCCCCCAGCATTAAATTTGCCGATGCCCATTAATACACCTGGGTGGAGAGAGGTACTGTGGAAGTAAAGTGTCTTGCCCAAGAACACAACCCAATGTCCCCAGCCAGGGCTCGAACCCAGACTGCTTGCTCCAGAGTGGAGTGTACTAACCAAGAGGCCACAGCGGAAAAAGGAAATAAAAAGCCCCCTTTGCAGCTGCCATTTTTTTTTTATGATAAACTTTTATTAACATAACAATCCAATACATTGCTTGCTATTATACTGATGGTACATTACTTGCAATAGTTTTACATTTGGGTTGCCTTGCAGTATTTCTCTCTATTAGTGGGGAAAAGCATTGCATGACAACACAAACAATGGCTGTAAAGGGGATAGGGATGTAGAGATATTTGTTAGGTTTGCAATTGAAGTACTTACTTACCGAGCCAGCTGAAAATGTAAAAAATGGTAGAAACACTATAGCTAGTCTCAAGTCTGGTTGATGAATGGCCACATATGACAGAACAGCAAACAATGCCCCTGACTGAAATATAATAAAAGAAACAGAAGGAAAAAAGTTTAAGAAAGAATTAACCCATTAAAAAATAAAAACACCTTTTCAAACAAAATTTTCCATGCTGAATCTGGTATGCTACTTTAATTTACAGAAAATATCTTGTAATGTATTTGGATACATAAATTTACAATGGAGTCACCATCTTACAGTACAATAGGCAGAATTTTCATGTAAAAGTCCGATTTAAGGAAATATTCCATTTCTTTAAGTCAGATTGGCCTTACAGAGTCACTAGCCATCACATGTCAAGCTTGCCGTTTGGTTATTAGAAAGGAACCAAGCTTCCATGAGCTAACCGCAGATTTCTGCAGAGATTCCAATACTTCAGGTGCTTCACATACAGCAAGCCAGAGTAACCTGTGTCTCAATAACACATGCATACACCAAAGCAAAGAGGCTCTAACAGATTTTCTGGCCAGACCATCATCCCACCCCTTCAAAAACTAAAAATCTTACCGCACCAAGAGATGCACTAAAAAAATTGGAAATAGCAATTCTATGTGCAACACTTGCAAATGAGGCAGCCACACCTGGGAAAGAAATGAACATAGATTTAATTCATTTCACTTCAATTGCAAATGGTGTGGAAAATAGACCTAATAGAGTGCCACACAATGGAGACAACACCAGCTGCAAATAAAGTGATCTGCACTGCAAATGATTGCAACACAAGCTGTGCATAAAGCAATGCAATTGGCAAGGTGCATGTCTCTTGCTTTTGTCCTTAGGGTTAACTTGCCCTGTCATACCAGCTCATGGCTTCTATTGATATATTCAATAAGTGCATCATAGAAATCAACAAATAAGCTCTAAAATTTACATCTATCCATAAAATACTAATATTTTAGACAAAACTTTCAAAACAAAGTAAATTAAATTAAATAATCATGAAGTGCCATTCTTACAGTGTTTTTCAATTTAATGTCACTCAACAAATTTTCCATACATAGAAATATTCATGGGTTTATTTGTGTTCCCAAAGAAGTACAAGGACATAGCCAGAAAAAAATTATGATTGAGGCAATGTCCAATGCCAAATTCTCTTCCTAGGTATTAAGGGTGTTATCATGACTAAAAACAACAACAACAACAACAACAAAATGACTAAGACAAGTGCCTTGGTTTACCTGTTTCTAGCTACGGCCCTAAAGCATACATTAACTGCAGTGGATACATTGGAACCCTTTGTAGCTCACCTCCAGTGATATAAAATGCTAGAAACTGTTCTTTACCCAGATGAGCTGAAACAGGGAGATGCTAGTAATCAGCATGGCCAATATAGCCAAATTCACACAAAAGGGAGGAAACAACATCTAATTTCTTTTCTCAACATCAAAAGTAGTATTCATCATTAAGTAATAAACGGTCATATCAAAAAGAAATGTCTGACACTTGCAAAATTACAGTAAAGTTTGCTCCAAATCTGGGCCTCTGTAAGGAGCCAGAAGGTACATCAGTGTATTAATTATTTGTAAAATCCATCGTTATTTGTAGAAGAAAGCCTTGTAACATACCTTCCATCCCTGGAGCAAAACTCCAAAGTACAAACATATTAACAGCCAAATGCCAGAAATCCTTATGACTAAAGGTGCTGCTCAATAGTGTCGCTGAAGATGCTGGAATTTAGAGGAATTATAATGAATAAACATTAAATCTTCATGTAATCAGCACTAAATGTCTCCCTACAAGACTTTAGCATGTTTAAACTTGAAATGGCGAAATGACCAAATGCTAATACAGGTACAGTACTGATCAGAAGAAACCTAACAGGGAACGCATTTGCGAACAGGAATGGAACGGATACAGAACAGGAACGGGAACGCATGTGGAACGGAAACAGAACGCGTTCTGTCAAGCGTTCCCCGTTAGGTTTCTTCTGATCGGTACTGTAAGAGTCAAAGTAGGATGCAGGTCTCTGTAAGGGTTTACCCTTGCAATACATTACTGTGAGCTAACCACTGTCAAGTCAGTCATATTTAGGCTACCTGAGTGCTATTTAGACTAACTACAGTGCTATTTACCATAACCATTTATTGGGCCATTTTGTCATTTTACCATTTCATGAGTTTAAACATGCCTAGCAAAATAAGTGAAAAGAACAAATTAAAATAAAAAAATATGAATTAATAACTGAAAGAATGTTTTCTTTCTCTAGCTCCATCATTCTGTAAACAAGGAGAACTAATACCTTGAAATTTGGAGTCACAAGTTTGACACTAGCCCTGGTCAAAAGTGTTACCATCTAAAGATCCTCAAAAATTTTAAGGATCTTCAAGGATCCTTAGAAGAACTTTGAAAGATCTTGTAAACATTCTTAAATGGGAGATCTCAAGTAAAGATCTTTATAAGGATCCTCTAAGATTTTTGAGTATCATCACAAGAATTTTCAAGACCCTCAACAATCCTAAAGATTCTTGACCAGGAACTTTGATGATCTGGATAGAGGCTCTTGATATGGTCCTTGCAAAGATAGTCAGGGACCCTTGAAGATCCTAGGAAGATTTCACCAGGGATACTTTATTAAAGATGCTGCAATTTTGAAGATAAGTCAGCTACAATCAAAATTGTACCAGCATCTTACTTAGCAAGTCCTTGTTTAGATTCTGGAGAAGGAAGTCCTTTTCTTAAGACTGAGCCTTTTTAAATAGCCTCTGTTAAAGTAACAGTATTTCAATAAGCCTCTATCACTCAGGCCAATTGACTAACCTGCAACTGGAGATGACGTAAACCACTTAAACATAAAATGCTGCATCCTAGGAATTCGCCATAAGGAAAACACTGCTGTGTTCAGAAAGATGATTCCTACAACTGTCTTTTGGCCTTCAGGCAAAGAATTCCACCATTTGTTCAACTTAAGAAAAAAACAATCAAAGCTCTCCATTAGAACAAGTACCCTTACATTCATTACTAATAGCCTTACCGCAAATAACACATGAAATGAAAGACATCATATTCTGGAATGCATTTACTTTGACATACCACATCCCTTATACCAAACAGTTTTGGAAACCTTCTTGTTGGCCAGTTCCGTTCCAGGCTTCCTCTAATGTACAAATTTCTAACTCTTTCATAATGCAGAATTGAACATGTTCCAAAACTCACTGCACCTGTCTACAAATGTCAGAGGATTTTATACGTAAGAATCATGTCAAATCTACGGGAAGCACATTTGTATCAGTGAACTGGACTCTGAGGAGTGAGATCTAAACAGGAACCTTGTCAGTGGAACCCTGTTAATCCGGTCACCAACGGACCACAAACATTGGTTGTTAACAGGGTGGCCGTATTTAAGGGATTCTATAAAAAAGAAAATGACTGACTAAGCCAGAAAAAAAGTGGCCGTATTAATGAGGTGGCCGTATAAACAAGGTGGGTGTAAGGCAGGGTTCCACTGTAGTCAGCAAGTTGCTAAGGTAACCTGGTATGGTCTATGCAATGTAACTAGCTGTGCTAGCTAGCTGTAATCAGTAGCAATAACGAGATATAATTCTTTCAAAAAGAAACTATTTTCATCATCATTATTGTTCATATTTTGAGAAGTGCAATTAACATCAGAAATCTGAAGCTCGTCCCAATTGTTTAGGTTAAAAAGTAGTTCCTGAGTCGGGTTTGGTCTGAAATAGGGTGTCGATGTTTTAATCTGAAAAAGTTTAAGGGTTTCAAGTAGTATGCACCCCAGCCCAACCCAGCTGTTCAGGGAGTATCCAGCAGCCAGGTTGTTGCCCCCTTGTGCCACCCCACTTCACAGGAATGCTAGTGCTAGTTCTTCTTCTTTCTGGCTGCTAGCCAATGCATTGATAAACTTGATAGCTTATGTACCTATCTTGTAGAATATTTGATATTTTGCTCTATGCTTGGGCTTTCTTGATACTTTTGATTAACATTTGTTTCTCCACCCTGGGGATTTTCCCCTACCTCCCTCCCCCAGGGATTTACATAGATAGGTGCACTGCGTTACGATCCAGACTTAATTAAAAACATACCATTATAGTAAAACCCAAGGGCCTCATTATCATTCTTAATTTACTGACACCCTCCGGCATTTCAGGCTGGATGTCGTTTTTTCCAGTTCCTTTTCCATACTGGCTGCGGTTCCGTAAGTTTCTTTGGACATGAAACTTTCTCGACCTTTCATGGAACGAAAGAAGCAAAAACATTACACTATATAAGACACGACTAGGGCTCCAACTATTTCACATGTTTGTTTCCTTCCACCTTCATAATAATTAGAAAATAACAATGACATTACCTGGGTAGAGAAAATTTCGGAAAACATGTCTTCCTACAAAACTTTGTCCCTTGTCGAGAAAGCACTAACACGACCGGCATTTTGAAATTTACTAGTTCCAGTCCCTATACTGAAACTCGCGGTTTGGACCCAATCCGTACCCCTCGTTCTTTGGTAAAATGACATGATCATTCCTTTTGAGCTCACGTGCTAGAGAATCGTCCATCCATCTCCAGGAAACAAAGGACACGTGTCAGACACGTGACATGCTGCATTGTGTCGTTGATTCGGAAACACACCTGTTTGATTAAAAAGGCATGGTTCCTTCCCAGTGTTCATGTACCTAATGTACTTGCCAGGAGCTAGCAGCCTTATATATGCATTTCACCCCTTGTCTGCAATCTGCATTTAACACTGACTGGATGCCACACTCACTAAGTCATGCGCGTGCAACTGAGTGCGATTTCAGGCAATAATACATCTACAATCCGCTGAACCAAGTGAACTTAATTATTAAAAGCTAATTTTAATAATGAAAAAGTGACACAACCAAAACCATTTATCCATAATTGTATTTAAGGCAACGATAGATATAACTCGATGAATTCCTGGTTTTCTAATGAAGACAGGAAAAGGGGCAACGCTACGCTGTTGATTGAATTCCAGTATAATATAGGTAGAACCCGCACGCGTTCTGATTGGTCAAAAATCCATGTTTTATCAGAGTATATAAAACATATAAAAAGCGTGTTTTATTGTTTTTCGCCTATATCATAAAGCAAATGAAGAAGCCTAAGCCGTGTATTACACTGTGATAAAACACTCGAGAAATGTAGGCACCACTCGCCTGCGGCTCGTGTTTTCTACATTTCCCTCGTGTTCTCAAAGTCCCGTCGTGTTTTATCACAGTGTAATACACGGCTTAGGCTTCTTTATTTGTTCAATAAGGGCCCACGATTCATGATTTTTATTTGCGTTCATTTTCTCTCTATCTGTCATCCCGTACAGCCTACGGTAATCAGTATACACGAAGGTTTGTTTGTCAGTGTACCACTGAAACTTTTGTTCATTTTCTCGTCAGTAGATGTTTGATTCAGCGCGTGGTTGAAGCGATTTTTTTAATTAGCTAGGCACACTGCCATGAACCATGGAAACGTGTGAAGCGAGCGACATCTTGGGCCGGCGGAAAGGTTGAATCAAATAAAATTTCAAACACACCGCTACAAGATAAAGGCATGGTTACTTCAATGACGGCCGCGCTGATCTCCGTTGGAGTATACCATGCCGGGCTTTTCTGAGTGGAGCGTGACCTGGGCAGAAACTTAGTTCTAAGCCAAACCCAGAGCAAAAAAAGAGACGCTCTACTTCAGTTCACGACACTACCGGACACGGTATTTAAAATTGAATCATTTTTCCATGCATACAATTACCTTGAAATATGAGAAAATCAATAAATTGTAGTTTTTTTGCAGTGCGAAACAAGGGTGATATAACTGAACCGAAAAATAAGGGAAACTCAAGCCAAAAACATACAAATAACAAAAGTAGCCTGAACAGCAATTTTTCAAGAGCCGACATCTCAATTTTTATGTTGTACTTTGAAATGGCTTTGCAATTTGTAATCTCTTTTCTGAACTGTAAATATTTATGGTTCCGGACAATTTGAAGGAAAAATCCAGTGGAATGGAGAAATGTCTGCTCTGTCGGAGTTGTAATCCGTATAAGCCAATGTTTTACATTTTCATAATATTTGAAAAACTTGTCAGTATAATCTCTGTATGTTTTGTGTTTGTGACAATGTTTTCTGTTCTGATTTTATGTAATTGGATGAAGAAGAAAAAGCAAAAACTGCGAAAAATCCATTCACTACTATTATATAGTCATCTAAGTTTGTTGTCAAAGATAAAGAGACGACAAACACCGTGTAATTATACAAATATAACGAGATGTTGTGGGAGCTGTGTATAGACATGTCATGAGCATTCCTTTTATGCTCACGTGCTAGAGAATCTCCATCTCCATGATCCAGAAAACAACAGACACGTGTCCGACACGTGGCATGCTGCATTGAGTCATTGATTCGGAAACACGCCACCAATTTTGTTTTCAATACAACAAGTGCGTGTTTGAAAGTTAAAAAGGCTAGGTTACTTCCCAATGTTCATGTACCTAATGTACTTGCCAGAGAGGTAGCAGCCTTATAAAAGCGTCGATCAAAATACATTTTACATCTTGTCCGCAGTCTGCAGTCTGCATTTTACACTGACGAGATGCCACACCCGCCAAGTCATACGCGTGCAACTATGTGCGATTTCAGATTTCAGGCAATAATGCGTCTACAATCCGCTGAACCAAGTGAACTTATTAAAAGCTAATTTTTCATAATGAAAATGCGCCACAACCAGGACCATTTATCGATAATTGTATTTTAAAGCAACGATAGACATAACTCAATGAACTCCTGGTTTTGAGATGAAAACAGGAAAAGGGGCAACACTACGCTGTTGTTTAAATTCTAATCAGGGCACGCGATTCATGATTTTCATTTGCGTTCATATCGTTTCTATCTGTCATCCCATACAGCCTAAGGTAATCATTATACACCAGGGTTTGTTTGTCTGTACCACTGAAACTTTTTGTTCATTTTCTCGTCAGTAGATGTTTGAATTCAGTCCGTGGTTGAAGCGATTTTTTTTAATTAGCTAGGCACACTGCCGTGAACCATGGAACCGTGTAAAGCGAGCGACATCTTGGGCCGGCGGAAAGGTTGAATCAAATAAAATTGTAAACACACCGCCACAAGATAAAGGCATGGTTAGTTCCACATGACGGCCGCGCTGATCTCTGTTAGAGTATACCATTCCGGGCTTTTTAGAGTGGAGCGTGACCTGGGCAGACACTTAGTTCTAAGCCAAAACCAGAGCAAAAAAAGAGTCGCTGTACTTCACTCAGCTACCGGACACGGTATTTCATATTGAATCATTTTGTCCATGCATACAATTACCTTGAAACAGGGGCGTAGCTAGGGGGAAGTCCTGTGGTGCCCGTGACCACCCTTTTGTAACCTTTTTTCTTTTTTTAAGCAAACAACCTACAACATGTGGCGAAAACGACTTGACAATCTGGTGAGTACCTTCACTTTGACACAGTGTGGCCCCCTCTTTGAAAAATCCTGGCTACGCCCCTGTGAAATAGGAGAAAATCAGAAAATTGTAGTTTGTTTGCAGTGCGAAACAGAGTTGATTCAACTGAACAGAAAAGTAAGGGAGGCTTGAGTCAAAAAATATAATAACAGAAGTAGCCTGAACTGCATTTTTTCAAGAGCCGACATCTCAATTTTTATGTTGTACTTTGAAATGGCTTTGCAATTTGTAATCTCTTTTCTGAACTGTAAATATTTATGGTTCCGGACAATTTGAAGGAAAAATCCAGTGGAATGGAGAAATGTCTGCTCTGTCGGAGTTGTAATCCGTATAAGCCAATGTTTTACATTTTCATAATATTTGAAAAACTTGTCAGTATAATCTCTGTATGTTTTGTGTTTGTGATAACGTTTTCTGTTCTGATTTTATGTAATTGGATGAAGAAGAAATAGCAAAAACTGCGACAAATCCATTCAGTACTATTAGTCATCCAGTAAATTTGTTGTCAAAGATGAAGAGACGACAAACACCGCGTAATTATACAAATATAACGAGATGTTGTGGGAGCTGCCCGGTATAGACAGATACCTATATGACGGCGAGGGAAAGAAATGAGTCATGGAATCACAGACTATATTGGAAAAACAAATTTTGAAGAACAAGGCTGTATTGATGGATTAGTAGTCATCCCAGCAGTAAAATGTTTTATAAGTGAGTTAATAATGAGAAAATAATGTGAGAAAGTTAAATCTATTTTTGATTTCGGGTAATTTGTTAACCATTAGCACGCATGTAACGAAGAACTTCACTTTAGCATAACAATTTACGTGCGCACTATTTCATCGCTTTCGTGTATGCTGTACAGGTAACACCGTTAGGAAAGAGCGTATGAAATGTGCAGTATGGAGTCTGTATGGAAAAAAACCGAAATCTAGATGACTTTTCGTTTGCCGCAAGGAATTTATCAAGTGAATTAGTTAATTTGTGGTTTCAGCCAGAAATCTCATTCCAAACGCCCACAAGGTGGCTTAACCTCTCCTACATACTGGGTAATCGGATTATAAAATTTAGAGAGGCGGCGTTTTTCCGTTTATTTTGGACAATTTAGTCTCGTGAAATAGTTTTCAAGTTTCAGTTGAGGTGAGCCACAAAAGTTTTACCCTCGAATATTGACCAGTTGCATTTTCATGGGTGGGAAAAGCCCCCTTGATACCGACGTGTCGTTATTCAAAATCGTCTCTTTGGAGGGAGCGTCAATAAGCTAGCGATCGCGGAAGTATAAAAGTGATAACAACCGGCACACTTCTGGTAATTATCAGACAATACCTTGACTGTTTACCCTTTGCGAAGAAATTTTAACAACGTCTCGATCTCCGGCCGAAACATAGGATTTCCTTCAGTCAGATTGATGTTTACAAAGGCGGGTTGAAGTCTTTATGCTGTGTTACGTATTGTATGAAACTTTACACGTTGGAGGCCTACAAGTCTGATTTTAATAAAGGTCGACCTTTCGCCTCGTTAAGGGTGGTTTTGGCGTATCCCTTGATCCAACAGGCAGGGACGAATTAACTTTAATATACAAACAAGCCAAGAAGCCGGAAAATGTTCCTTGTTATATTTCTCACTCTTCATCTCGGGGCTTCGTGTGGTTGTCCTAAGTATTAGCTTAATATAAGAACAGTCATTGTTTCTTTACAGCACTTAACAACAATTTGAATTTCACTGACTCAATAAACGTCTTTTACTGTTATCCAGCTAAAGCTTCTCACATACTTATCTGATAATATAACGCGGGAACCTTAAGTCGGTTTGCGGTTTGGTACAGCTCCACTTTAGTACGTCAAATATTAAATTTAATGCATTCAGTGCTCCCCGAAGACCCCTAAGGAACTGAGTTGTTTTCACAAATCATTCACAGTCGATCATTACCGACAGTGCGAAAAATATGCGACAACCATCACAATAAACTAATCGCAACTCCAAGGAAAAACTTGGCGTTTGATTCTCATTGGTTGAAAATCTCTGTCTACTGTGATTGGTTTATGGAGAGCGGTATTATACCGTGTTATTGTGCACCAGTCACACAACCACTCATACAACTGATACAAGTGCAACTGTATTAAAGAAGGCATTTTCAGTCAATTTCAAAAACATGCATTAACCGATCACAAAACGTCAGAATAAATCTCGGAAGTCTGAGCACGAAGTTTGAGTGAAGAAGAAAGACGCATTGTTCCTTTCCACAGAGAATTAATTAAGAGACGAATAACCCAATTCCTTGATAGAAAAATAAAGCCTCCCATTATTGCATTTAAACATAAAATTGAACCGTGCTAACCTTTGATATTGATTCGACTCAAGCCTTTTGGGCGAACAGACCCTAATAACTTTTTTGAAACCTTTTAGCATTCAGTTAGGTGCTGTTATACATACTTTATTTTGATAAGAGCATAAGATCGCTATAAATCAGCCTTCTTGTCTGTC